CCCGGATCAGGGCGGGCCAGCCAGCCAACCTCCCACCTTCTCCTCCTCCCGACAGGCCCAGCCCTGATCCGCCCCAGTTGTGGCTATGCCATCCTCTCTCTCTCTGTGCATGAATTCATGCACTGGGCCTCTAGTGTGTGTGTGTGTGTGTGTGTGTGTGTGTGTGTTCGTGTGTGTGTGTGTATTACCCCTCAATATTTCATGTAATACTGGTTTGGTGGTGATGAACTCCTTTAGCTTTTTTTTTGTCTGTGAGGGTCTTTATCTGACCTTCAATTCTAAATGATAGTTTTTCTCGATAGAGTAATCTTGGTTGTAGGTCCTTGCTATTCATCACTTTGAATATTTCTTGCCACTCCCTTCTGGCCTGCAGTTTCTGTTGAGAAATCAGTTGATAGTCATATGGGTTCTCCCTTGTAGGTAACTAACTGCTTTTCTCTTGCTGCTTTTAAGATTCTCTCTTTGTGACTGTGGCACAACCACAGAAGGGGTTTGTCTTTAGCCCTTGGCATTTTAATTATGATGTGTCTTGTTGTGGTCCTTTTTGGGTTCCTCTTATTTGGGACTCTCTGTACTTCCTGGACTTGTAAGTCTATTTCTTTCACCAGTAGAGGGAGTTTTCCATCATTATTACATCAAATAGGTTTTCAATATCTTGCTCTCTCTCTTCTCCTTCTGGCACTCCCATAATCAAATGTTAGTAAGCTTGAAGTTGTCCCAGAGGCTCCTTACACTATCTTCATATTTTTGGATTCTTTTTTCTTTTTGCTGTTCTGTTTGGGTGTTGTTTTTTTTCTTCCTCATATTCCAAATCAATGATTTGATTCTCATAATCCTGTACTCTACTGTTGAGTCCCAGTAAATTATTCTTTATTTTAGTTAGTGTATACTTAACTTCTGACTGGTTCTTTTTCGTGTCTGAAATTCTCACTAAGATTCTTGAAAGTCTCACTAAGTCCCTTGAAGCTTTCATGAATGTCCTTGAGTAACCTTATAACAATGTTTTTGAACTCTGTATCTAGTAATTTGCTTGCTTTTACTTCATTTACTTCTTTTTCTGGAGATTTCTTCTGTTCTTTCATTTGTGACATGTTTCTTTGTCTCCATATTTTGGCTGCTTCCCTGTATTTGTTTCTATGTATTAGGTAGAGCTGCTATGTCTCCTGGAATTGGTAGAGTGGCCTTGTGTAGTAGGTGTCCTGTAGGGCCCAGTGACTCAGCCTCCCCAGTCACCTGAGTTGGGTACTCTAGGTGTGCCCCTGTGTGGGTTGTGCACACAGTCTTATAGTTCAGCCTTGATTGCTGTTGGCGTCACTGGGAGGAGTTGACTTCTAGGCCAATTGGCTGTGAGGACCAGCTATGACTATAGTGGAACAGCTGCTGTGCAGGAGACACCCTTATGGAGCAGGACGTGCTTCCGTGGGGCTTTGGTGCTCACTGAGTCTTCTCCTTGAGTGTGTTGCTTGTGGATGTGTAGAGTTGTAATCTGGTGTGGTCTGAAGCTGCCCGCTGAGTGCACTGGCTCTAGGGCCTCTGGGAAGTACAAATTCAGCCACTGCCTGGGCCATCCGTCAGGAGCTACAGAGAGATCTGCAATGGCTGCTGCTTGTATTGGGCTTGGAAGTGCCCAGGCGAGGCCAAGCTGTGAAGCAAGGCAGGCTGGTGCTACTGCCAGGGCTTGGGCCTTTTATTGATAGTCTGGGCCTTTTATTGGGGCATGCTGATGCCACGTTCTGCTTGTTTGAGAAATTTTAACAAAGTCTGAAGCCTGAGCCAGGACAGGCCATTCAAATGGAAAAGCCTCTGCAAACAGCTTGAGTGGGGCTGCAATTTGGATGGGGCAGGGTCTCAGGGAATCACCAGCGTGGGGCAAAAAGTGTGGGCCATGCTGATGGAAACTCAGATATGGCTGCCAGTCAGCTCTGGGATGGGGGACAATGACACCTATGAGCACCCCTGTCTGCGAGAAAGCCACCCCTGAGTTCCTGCCCTGATGCCAGATAATCCAGTTGCTCCCCATATGTCCCTGGATCCCCCAAAGCTGCTACCCAGAGCTGGTGCTCAGGAGAAGAGGAACTGTGTAACTTCGTGTACCTGGCCCTTTAAGAGAACTGCTGGGTCTCTTCTGTTCACTCAATCATTTGCTAACTTACAGTGCTGCATGCTGTTTATTTCTACATTCATGAGTGGCCTTCTGATGATATATCTGGGTCTTGTTCATCTGTGCACTGTGAGCACAGTGGCTGTGGCCTGTGGCTGGTCAGTATACACTGGCTCACTCTGACATGATGATGTGCAATGGTGTTTGAGTTCTTAGCATGGCACAGCCAATTCCTAGAGTCTGCTGTTTGGTTTCCTTGTAGAGTGTGCAGTTTCCATGATGGGATTCACCGGTGGGGCTACATTGTGAGGATTTGGCCCACGTCACCTGGTGCCGTTAGAACAGCACTCTGTTGCACAGGACCCATCGACAGTGACAGTGATGGAGACTCTTGCTTCCAATTCTTTTCAGCTGCACCACAGGGGGCAGTATAACAAAAGTGAAGGCTGCCTGGTGGGCTTGTTAGATAGGCCATGGCCCAGCAAAGAGTCTCTGAGCTTGAGGATAACTAAGTAGAAACCCCCCAAACTGAAAAGTGAAGAGAACAAAGACTGTAAAACAAAACTTAACTAAACTAAACTAAACATAAAATGACTGTGGCACAACCACAGAAGGGGTAAAGTCTAATGAGAGTCCCAGAATGAGAAGAAAGAGAGAAAGGAAGAGATATGTTTGAAACAGTAATGACTGAGAATTTCCCCCAATTAATGTTAGACACTAAACCACAAATCCAGGAAGCTCAGAGAACACCAAGTGTGGTAAATATTTTTAAAAACCCACAAAAAAAACTCACATACACCTAGGCACATTATTTTCAAACTACAGAAAATCAAAGATAAGAAAAAATATCCCAAAAGAAGCCAGAGGCAAAAAAGTCACCTTAACCATAGAGAAGCAAAGATAGAAATTATGCTCAACTTCTCAGACACCATGCAAGCAAGAAGCCAGTGGAGTGAAATATTTAAGTGTTAAAAGAATGTGATGCTGAGAGCAGCAATGCTTGGCACCAAGTCAGCCAGCTGGGCACTCTGAAGCCATCAGACCTGAGCGAAGAGGACAGCGTGGTAGCAACTCCGATTTCCACCTTGTTCATGTAGGAAGGACTTGGTAGGAATCGTTCCATGAGCTCACCACATTTCTCTTTCAGACGGGAAGCTGTATGATGCGTATGTCTTGTACCCCAAGCCTCTCCGAGACTGCCGGAGCTCTGATGTGGACACGCTGGTTCTGAGGGCTCTGCCCGAGGTGCTGGAGAGGCAGTGTGGATATAAGCTATTTATATTTGGCAGGGATGAGTTTCCTGGACAAGGTATGTGTTAACTGAGGTAGAAAAACAACAAATGAATAAAAAAATTAACGGAAACTTTCCCTTCCTTCACTTTACAAATGGTAGGGACTCTGCTTGCCTTCCCCACTGAACCACAGGAAGTCTTCCACCTCCCAGCTCTCAACCCTGAGCTGGGAGCTTAGAACCCAACTCCCCTCTCCCGTTCAGCTCATTCCTGCAACAGGATAACAGAGACCCTGATTGAAACACCATGACTCTCACTCTGAGCAAGGATATGGCTAAACCACCCATGTGCACTGGTGATGGGTGGTATAGTCTTGGACCCTTCCATGTACACAAGTGGTGGGTGGCATAGGCTTCTAAAACCCTTCCATGTGCACAGGTGGTAGGTGGCAGAGGCTTCTAAAACCCTTCCATGTGCACAGGTGGTGGGTGGCAGAGGCTTCTAAAACCCTTCCATGTGCACAGGTGGTGGGTGGCATAGGCTTCTAAAACCCTTCCATGTGCACAGGTGGTGGGTGGCATAGGTTTCTAAAACCCTTCCATGTGCACAGGTGGTGGGTGGCATAGGCTTCTAAAACCCTTCCATGTGCACAGGTGGTGGGTGGCACAGAGACTGAAAATGGTCGCTTGCCCTGATGTCCTTGAGACTAACTGCTGCGTATTTTTTTCAGTTGGAGCATGTAAATAAGCTCATGTTTAAAGTGGATTTTCTAACCCTCAACCCCTTATCCTCCCCTACTAAATAGAAGAGGTATTTACTTCTCTCATTTAATAGCAGTATAGCTTTGGGCTGGGTAGCTGACATCTCTGAACCTCAGGTGGCTCATCTGTCATATGGGGATAAGAATGCTTCCCTGACTTGGTTGAGAGAATTAAATGAGTAGAACCTTAAGCAGTACTGATTAGACCAGAGGTTCTCAACCTGTGGGTCGCGACCCCTTTGGGGGTCGAACGACCCTTTCACAGGGTTCGCCTAAGACCATTGGAAAACACATATATAATTACATATTGCTTTTGTGATTAATCGCTATGCTTTAATTATGTTCAATTTGTAACAATGAAATTGGGGGTCACCACAACATGAGGAACTGTATTAAAGGGTCGCGGCATTAGGAAGGTTGAGAACCACTGGATTAGACACTCAGAGGACAAAGATTTCCCCTTCGATGGCTATACAGTCAATGGCTGAAATTTGAAATAAGTCTCATTTTCTAGTCACCAGGAACCAAGATTACTACTTTATTGCAGTTGGTAGTGGCTTATTCTGGGCCGCTTTTAAAGGTTTCTAACTACTTTGGACTTACAGGCTACTTATACCCACAGAGACCACAGCTATATCTCCGCCCAGACCTTCCCATGTTCTGAGATCACCCTCTATGAGGAAATGAAACTTCAGTCCAGTGCTTATGATAAACATGTGGAAGAACTCTCCTTTCATAAGTGGATCCATCTTCATTCACTCACTTATTCAACAAATATTTATTGAGCACTTGCTATGTGCCAGGTAGTGTTCTGGGCTCTAGAAATGTTAAAAGTAACCAAAAATAAAAAGTCTGCTTTTGGGGAGGTTATTATCTATTCATATATTCTAAGAATAAGGAGGATATAAAACTTGGTCTTTATTCTGAAAAAGACCAACTTATTTCAGGAACTCTCCCCTTCCTGCCACCAGAAACCATCAGGGTATATAAATCCTGGTCATTTAAATAGCTATAAAGCATAAGAGGAAAACACGAATAAAGATTAAAATGACATTTGAGCTAACTTCTTATTCTTTTAAAATGTATTTATTTTTTAAAAATATGTTCATCATCTTATACCAGACCTCCAGCTAAGAGTGGCAAAACTAGGCCTGATCAGATCCTGTTCTGAGCAGTTCATGCCTGTGTGAGCTGAGGAAAGTGACATACCAACAACTAAGTATAAAAACATGTGATTCATGAATATAAAGGACCAATGCTTCAGGGACAGTAAGGACGTTTTCACAGAGAGGGTGACGATGTCAAAAGACAACTTGTTAACCCATTGCTAAGTCATGTCTATTTTAATGTTTATTCTTAGGGTCCATTTCTAATGTTCTCAAGAGCATTAAGATCCAGGCTGCTTTACTCATGAGATCTTCTGCTTCTCTTTCTCTGTGTGCAGCTGTGGCCAATGTCATCGATGAGAACATTAAGCTGTGCAGGCGACTGATCATCATCTTAGTTCCTGAACCGCTGGGCTTTGACCTATTAAAGAACATGTCAGAAGAACAAATTGCAATCTACAACGCTCTCATCCAGGATGGGATGAAGGTCATTCTGATTGAGGTGGAGAAAGTCGAGAGCTATGCATCCATGCCAGAGTCGATCCAGTATCTCAGACAGAAGCACGGGTCCGTCCAGTGGAGCAGGGACTTCACAGCGCAGTCACCGTGTGCAAAGGCCAGGTTCTGGAAAAAAGTGAGATACCTCATGCCACCCAAAAGGTTTCCGCCACCTTCTCCGGCCAGCTGCTGAAGCTCATGCCCTGTGACCTCACAGCTGGCAACAGCTGGCAAGCGGGAGGCCACCTGGAGGTCTTTACCCCATGATGGAGAGTTTGCCCTCAGAAGTGGCTCACAGTTGGACAAGGTGCACTGCATTCAGGCCACCTGCTTGGAGTCTGTGAGAGAGAGACTGCGTTTATTTTTGTGTTTTGTTTTTGTTTTAAGAATATGTTTTTATTGACTTCAGAGAGGAAGGGAGAAAGAGAGATAGAAACATCAATGGTGAAAGAGAATCATTGATCGGCTGCCCCCTGCATGTCCCACACTGGGGATCTAGCTTGCAACCGGGCACATGCCCTGACGAGGAATCGATCTGTCATTTCCTGGTTCATAGGTCGATGCTCAACCACTGAGCCACACCAGTTGGGCGAGAGGGACTGTGTTTGTTTGCTTATTTTGGTCAGAGATGCTTCTTTTTTTAAAATATATTTTATTGATTTTTTTTTTTACAGAGAGGAAGGGAAAGGGATAGAGAGTTAGAAACATCGATGAGAGAGAAACATCGATCAGCTGCCTCCTGCATACCCCCCACTGGGGATGTGCCCGCAACCAAGGTACATGCCCTTGACTGGAATTGAACCTGGGACCCTTCAGTCCGCAGGCCGACGCTCTATCCACTGAGCCAAACCGGTTAGGGCAGAGATGCTTCTTTAAGGAAACACATCACCTCTCTAGAAGGCCCTCATTAACTTATTGGCTCTGAACCCCTATGAACATTTGCTGAACATGGAGTGGATTTGCCTGAGAAATGGGGCACAGGGTGCTCTGGGATTGTAATTCAGATGTCAGGAAGTTGGCACATGGTGTGGCACCTGAGAGACCAGAGCTGGGAGCCGGTAGTCAGGGGAGGGCAGGAAGGCGGGATGTGGGCTTGGAGAGGGCTGGCAAGGATAATGGCAGTTGTTATGCCTGACCAGTGTCCACAGGGCCCTGTGTTTAGGGATATCTGCTGTCTGTGCAAATACATAGCCATGATCAGTCTTAGCAGGTGATACTGGAAGCGACTTAGTGGTCACCAGACCAGTGGGGTTAACAGTGGCGACACTGTAATTGCCCATTAATCACCCTCTGGTGAGCTCCATGCTTTGAAAGACTTGATCTGTCAAATCTCACTTGTTTTTCCAGCTGGCTCGTGTCAGCCAGAATGCTGAGTAACATGTGAGAGGCATGGTTATCACCCCGAGATGATGTCATTATGGTCCAATTAAAATAAAGTAATTTTTCAGTTAGCCCCTCATCGCAGGTCAGTTCATGATGTAACAAGTCACAAAGACTCTTGAGACTAAAAATGAGCTGTCACTCTCATCACAACTTTTAAGGGCCCTAACTTGAGGAGCCCATTCTGTGGTAAATGACACTGAGCCTTAAAAGTGGCTGCCAGGATGCACAATTACTATTCAGAAACTGGTGGCATTTTATTCACCAATAACGAACTATGAGAAAGAGAAACTAAGAGAACACTCTCATTTATAATTGTAAAAGAAAAATAAGATAACTAGGAATAAATTTAACCAAGGAGGTAAAATACCTGTACTCAGAAAATTATAAGACACTGAAGAAAGAAATTGATGAAGATACACATAAGTGGAAGCATATATTGTGTTCATAGATAGGAAGAATTAACATCATCAAAATGTCCATACTACACAAAGCAATCTACAGATTCAATGCTATTCCTATCAAAATACCACTGGTGTATTTCACAGAACTAGAACAAATATTCCAAAAATTTATGTGAAACAACAAAAGACCCTGAATAGCCAAAGTAATCTTTCGAAAGAACAAAGTTGAAGATACCTCATATCAAACTATACTGCAAGGCTGTAGAAATCAAAACAACATGGTATTGGCATAAAACCAGACACATAGACTAATGAAACAGAATAGAGAGCCCAGAGATCAACCATGGCTTATTGTCAATTAATATCTAACAAAGGAGGTGAAAACATACAATGGGATAACGACAATCTCTTCAAGAAGTGGTATTGGGAAAATTGGACAGGTACATGCAAAAAAAAAAATAAAACTAGACCACCTCCTTACACCACACACAAGAATAAAATTCAAAATGGATTAAAGACTTAAATGTTAGACTCAAAACCATAAAAAACCCAGAAGAAAACACAGGCAGTAAAATCTTGGATATTTTTCTTAGCAATATTTTTTTCTGATATAACTCCTCGGGCAAGGGAAACAAAACAAACATAAACAACTGGGACTACATCAAACTAAAAGGTTTTGCAAAGCAAAGGAAACTGTCAACAAAATGGAAAGACAACCCACTGAATGGGAGAGCATATTCACCAATGATGCATCTGATATTGGGTTAACCCTTTGAGTGCCAACCAATACCTAGGAACTATGCTAAAATTGCCAAGGCATTTTTGCTGATTTTACAGCAGTTTAGGAAAAAAAATTATGAATCACAAGTAAATGAAGTTACATATTCAAAAACTGAAGGAAACCTTTACTACATTGACATATTTAGCAATATCATCATCACTAATAAAAGCAGACTTAGAAGTGGACGCCATTTCGAAGCTTTGATAGCGCTCCCGGCACTTTTGGCAAAAGACAGGAGGAGCACGATCGCGCTCCCTGGCACTCTAGGGGTTAATATCCAAAATTTATAAAGTGCTCATACAACGCAACACCCAAAAAACAAACAATTCAATTAAAAAATTGGCAAAGAACCTGAATAAATACTTCACCAAAGAGGACATGGAAAGATGCTCAATGTTACTAATGATCAGAACAATGCAAATGAAAGCAAAATGTGATATCGCCTCACACCTGTCAGAATGGCTATCATCAATAAATCAACAAACATCAAATGCTGGTGAGGATGTGAAGAAAATGGAACCCTGGTTCACTGCTGGAAGCGCATCTGGGGGCTGGAAGAGCATCCGCAGGGTGGGCAGGAGGGCTGAGTTGGGAGAGCAGTGGCCCTGGAGGGAGGGCGGAGATAAGCTACTACTTCTGGTGGACAAAGTGCTGGCCGCTCCTCAGCCTCCCAGCTCCACCCGTGGGGCCTGGCCCCAGGTGTGCTGGTGGCTGGGGCTCCTTTATGAGAGAAGGGAAAACACACACACTCAAAACGGCACCCCCAGGAGACACCCCAGGTGATCTGGACCAGACGGGCTCCTTCTTCATCCAAGGCTGCCAGCACCCTCCACACCCGCGGAGCGGATCCCGGGGAGCACACCCGCGGAGGAGGGGTCCCGGGGAGCACACCCGCGGAGGAGGGGGTCGAGGGAGCACACCCGCGGAGGAGGGGGTCGAGGGAGCACACCCGCGGAGGAGGGGGTCGAGGGAGCACACCCGCGGAGGAGGGGGTCGAGGGAGCACACCCGCGGAGGAGGGGGTCGAGGGAGCACACCCGCGGAGGAGGGGGTCGAGGGAGCACACCCGCGGAGGAGGGGGTCGAGGGAGCACACCCGCGGAGGAGGGGGTCGAGGGAGCACACCCGCGGAGGAGGGGGTCGAGGGAGCACACCCGCGGAGGAGGGGGTCGAGGGAGCACACCCGCGGAGGAGGGGGTCGAGGGAGCACACCCGCGGAGGAGGGGGTCGAGGGAGCACACCCGCGGAGGAGGGGGTCGAGGGAGCACACCCGCGGAGGAGGGGGTCGAGGGAGCACACCCGCGGAGGAGGGGGTCGAGGGAGCACACCCGCGGAGGAGGGGGTCGAGGGAGCACACCCGCGGAGGAGGGGGTCGAGGGAGCACACCCGCGGAGGAGGGGGTCGAGGGAGCACACCCGCGGAGGAGGGGGTCGAGGGAGCACACCCGCGGAGGAGGGGGTCGAGGGAGCACACCCGCGGAGGAGGGGGTCGAGGGAGCACACCCGCGGAGGAGGGGGTCGAGGGAGCACACCCGCGGAGGAGGGGGTCGAGGGAGCACACCCGCGGAGGAGGGGGTCGAGGGAGCACACCCGCGGAGGAGGGGGTCGAGGGAGCACACCCGCGGAGGAGGGGGTCGAGGGAGCACACCCGCGGAGGAGGGGGTCGAGGGAGCACACCCGCGGAGGAGGGGGTCGAGGGAGCACACCCGCGGAGGAGGGGGTCGAGGGAGCACACCCGCGGAGGAGGGGGTCGAGGGAGCACACCCGCGGAGGAGGGGGTCGAGGGAGCACACCCGCGGAGGAGGGGGTCGAGGGAGCACACCCGCGGAGGAGGGGGTCGAGGGAGCACACCCGCGGAGGAGGGGGTCGAGGGAGCACACCCGCGGAGGAGGGGGTCGAGGGAGCACACCCGCGGAGGAGGGGGTCGAGGGAGCACACCCGCGGAGGAGGGGGTCGAGGGAGCACACCCGCGGAGGAGGGGGTCGAGGGAGCACACCCGCGGAGGAGGGGGTCGAGGGAGCACACCCGCGGAGGAGGGGGTCGAGGGAGCACACCCGCGGAGGAGGGGGTCGAGGGAGCACACCCGCGGAGGAGGGGGTCGAGGGAGCACACCCGCGGAGGAGGGGGTCGAGGGAGCACACCCGCGGAGGAGGGGGTCGAGGGAGCACACCCGCGGAGGAGGGGGTCGAGGGAGCACACCCGCGGAGGAGGGGGTCGAGGGAGCACACCCGCGGAGGAGGGGGTCGAGGGAGCACACCCGCGGAGGAGGGGGTCGAGGGAGCACACCCGCGGAGGAGGGGGTCGAGGGAGCACACCCGCGGAGGAGGGGGTCGAGGGAGCACACCCGCGGAGGAGGGGGTCGAGGGAGCACACCCGCGGAGGAGGGGGTCGAGGGAGCACACCCGCGGAGGAGGGGGTCGAGGGAGCACACCCGCGGAGGAGGGGGTCGAGGGAGCACACCCGCGGAGGAGGGGGTCGAGGGAGCACACCCGCGGAGGAGGGGGTCGAGGGAGCACACCCGCGGAGGAGGGGGTCGAGGGAGCACACCCGCGGAGGAGGGGGTCGAGGGAGCACACCCACGGAGGAGGGTCCCGGGGAGCACACCCACGGAGGAGGGGTCCCGGAGAGCACACCCACGGAGGAGGATCCCGGGGAGCACACCCATGGAGGAGGGGGTCCCGGGGAGCACACCCACGGAGGAGGGTCCCGGGGAGCACACCCGCGGAGGAGGGGTCCCAGGGAGCACACCCACGGAGGAGGGGGTCCCGGGGAGCACCCCCGCGGAGGAGGGGGTCGAGGGAGCACACCCACGGAGGAGGGTCCCGGGGAGCACACCCGCGGAGGAGGGGTCCCAGGGAGCACACCCACGGAGGAGGGGGTCCCGGGGAGCACCCCCGCGGAGGAGGGGGTCGAGGGAGCACACCCACGGAGGAGGGTCCCGGGGAGCACACCCGCGGAGGAGGGGTCCCAGGGAGCACACCCACGGAGGAGGGGGTCCCGGGGAGCACCCCCGCGGAGGAGGGGGTCGAGGGAGCACACCCACGGAGGAGGGTCCCGGGGAGCACACCCGCGGAGGAGGGGTCCCAGGGAGCACACCCACGGAGGAGGGGGTCCCGGGGAGCACCCCCGCGGAGGAGGGGGTCGAGGGAGCACACCCACGGAGGAGGGTCCCGGGGAGCACACCCGCGGAGGAGGGGTCCCAGGGAGCACACCCACGGAGGAGGGGGTCCCGGGGAGCACCCCCGCGGAGGAGGGGGTCGAGGGAGCACACCCACGGAGGAGGGTCCCGGGGAGCACACCCGCGGAGGAGGGGTCCCAGGGAGCACACCCACGGAGGAGGGGGTCCCGGGGAGCACCCCCGCGGAGGAGGGGGTCGAGGGAGCACACCCACGGAGGAGGGTCCCGGGGAGCACACCCGCGGAGGAGGGGTCCCAGGGAGCACACCCACGGAGGAGGGGGTCCCGGGGAGCACCCCCGCGGAGGAGGGGGTCGAGGGAGCACACCCACGGAGGAGGGTCCCGGGGAGCACACCCGCGGAGGAGGGGTCCCAGGGAGCACACCCACGGAGGAGGGGGTCCCGGGGAGCACCCCCGCGGAGGAGGGGGTCGAGGGAGCACACCCACGGAGGAGGGTCCCGGGGAGCACACCCGCGGAGGAGGGGTCCCAGGGAGCACACCCACGGAGGAGGGGGTCCCGGGGAGCACCCCCGCGGAGGAGGGGGTCGAGGGAGCACACCCACGGAGGAGGGTCCCGGGGAGCACACCCGCGGAGGAGGGGTCCCAGGGAGCACACCCACGGAGGAGGGGGTCCCGGGGAGCACCCCCGCGGAGGAGGGGGTCGAGGGAGCACACCCACGGAGGAGGGTCCCGGGGAGCACACCCGCGGAGGAGGGGTCCCAGGGAGCACACCCACGGAGGAGGGGGTCCCGGGGAGCACCCCCGCGGAGGAGGGGGTCGAGGGAGCACACCCACGGAGGAGGGTCCCGGGGAGCACACCCGCGGAGGAGGGGTCCCAGGGAGCACACCCACGGAGGAGGGGGTCCCGGGGAGCACCCCCGCGGAGGAGGGGGTCGAGGGAGCACACCCACGGAGGAGGGTCCCGGGGAGCACACCCGCGGAGGAGGGGTCCCAGGGAGCACACCCACGGAGGAGGGGGTCCCGGGGAGCACCCCCGCGGAGGAGGGGGTCGAGGGAGCACACCCACGGAGGAGGGTCCCGGGGAGCACACCCGCGGAGGAGGGGTCCCAGGGAGCACACCCACGGAGGAGGGGGTCCCGGGGAGCACCCCCGCGGAGGAGGGGGTCGAGGGAGCACACCCACGGAGGAGGGTCCCGGGGAGCACACCCGCGGAGGAGGGGTCCCAGGGAGCACACCCACGGAGGAGGGGGTCCCGGGGAGCACCCCCGCGGAGGAGGGGGTCGAGGGAGCACACCCACGGAGGAGGGTCCCGGGGAGCACACCCGCGGAGGAGGGGTCCCAGGGAGCACACCCACGGAGGAGGGGGTCCCGGGGAGCACCCCCGCGGAGGAGGGGGTCGAGGGAGCACACCCACGGAGGAGGGTCCCGGGGAGCACACCCGCGGAGGAGGGGTCCCAGGGAGCACACCCACGGAGGAGGGGGTCGAGGGAGCACAGCCATGGAGGAGGGGGTCGGGGGAGCACACCCGCAGAGGAGGGGTCCCGGGGAGCACACCCGCGGAGGAGGGGGTCAGGGGAGCACACCCTTGAGAAGGGGGTCCCGGGCAGCGCCCCCCACACTGGGAAACACGCTGGGAAGCGGGTGCCGGAGCACTTTCCTGGGTCTCTCTCCTGCCGCCAAGGGCTCCGCTGCAGGGCGCAGGTGCGAGGGCGGCGCCCTTGGGCTCAGCCAGGGAGGAGGCGGCCTCTGGAAGCCGGTG